ATGGGTATTAAAGAGGGCACGTACTGCATGGAGCACTGGGTGTTATGCACAAACAATGAATCATGGAACACTACATCTCAAACTAATGATGTAATGTATGGTGATTAACATAACAATAAAATATTAAAAAAAAAAAAAGACTGACACCTGTGAGATGAGCCCCCAGAATATCTGGCTTTGAAGACAGCAGGCTATTGCCCTTGACCCTAAGGTCTGTAGCGAACTGAGGGATAGTTCTTTAAGGGCCTGCACGCAGCCTCACCTGCCCCAGGGCCCAGAGAGGAAGTTGGCTCACTTCCTGTGTTTACGGAGGCTGAAAAGTCCCGAGACCTGTAGACCCAGGAGAGCTGATGGCGGAGTTCTGGTCTGAGTCCAAAGGTCTGAGAAACAGCAGATCTCATGGTGTAAGTTCCAGTCCGAGTCCAGGTTCAAAGGCAGGAGAGGACTGTGTCTCAGCTGGAAGCCAGGCAGAGAGAGTGAATTCTCCCTCACTCAGCCTCTTGCTCTGGCCAGGCTTTCAGTGGGTTGGATGAGGGCACTACATTGGGGACGGCACTCTCCTTTCCTCAGTCTACTGAGTCACATAGTAATCTCATCCAGAAACAGCCCTATAGACACACAGGAATAAGGTTTAACCAAATATCTGGGCATCCAGATAGGCCCAGTCAGGTTGACATATAAAATCAACCATCATAACCCTTGAGGTGACATGACAAGGAAGTGGCCTAATGGGATCTTGAATCCCGTTGGTCTCTTGGTCCTCTGCCCTCCTTAGCACAGTGAAATGGTTGTATAATGGATGCTTATCTGATATGGAAGTACTCTGGGTTTTAAAGTTGGAACGGACCCTCTAAGTCATTTAGATCATTCCTGTCATTTTATAGATGAAGAAATCCCCACGAGGCTGTTATTTGCTCAAGTTCACATGGCTGCTCAAGGCCAGACAAATGATTTTTTAGCGTAACTTGTAGACATCTCTCTTTCCTACATTGTTGACCTTCTCTCGCTGAAATGCTTAGAATTATTTCACAATTTCTTATATTAATGTATATACATATATATACACACACACACACATATTAATGTATATACAGTTTTCCATTTTGCACTTTTCTCCCCTAAAGGATTTTAAAGTAAATTACAGCATGAAGACGTTTTACACCTAAATATTTCTGAATACATCTCTTAAAAAGAAAGACATTCCAACATAACTACATTATCACACCTAACAAAATATGTAACAAAATAACACCAATTCTCTAATATCATCTAAAACCTAATCTATGTTCAAATTTTTCCAGTTGTCTCCAAAATGTTATTTATAGCTGTTTTACTCAAACCGGGATGCATCCAAGAACTATGCATTGCATTTCGTTGTTAAGTCTCTTAATCTTAGTGTAGGACACTGAGTCTGCATTTATACAAAGGTAGGAGCCGAATTTTAACCAACGACAGTAACCTTTATGAATTATTTTTGGCCTAGGCCAGAATATTCATTATTTCCCTCCTTGCAGCCATTTTGGACATTATCCAAACAAATGAACTTCACTCACATCAAGTGTTTTAAAAAAACACCTTATGACGTGTTCTATACTTCGAGAAGTTTTGCTTCATTAGAAAGCATACCTAGGTCCCACATCTAGTCTTGCAGCAACTACTGAGGATTTTAGGAAAAAAAATAGGCAATATTCAGTTATTCTCTATGCTGTTAACACAGGAAATTGAATGGGCTCAGAAAATGGCAATTTATAGAGAAATGTGTTATAAAAGTTGCCAAACTAAATGGATTTCAAGTAAGCATTTGGAATTTATATACGATTTCATATCTTACAAGAACATCTCAGTCTTCTCTATGATATCCTATGAGACATAAAAGGAGAAGATATTTAAATACCCATTTTGTAGAATAAATTACAGGAGGAAATGAGACCTATTCAGCCATAGAGGAAGGGGATTGAATTTATCATTTGGCCTTTAACTGCATTGAAAGTCCCTCTCTTAACGCTTAATTCTTCTTACTTGCATCGTCTTGGCGTCATTACTGAAGCTAACATTCCTAATGGCAAAGAAAGATTCAGTTGGTTTCTTCCTACTCAAAGTAGAATCAATTTTACCATAATTTATTTTTCCTGAAGAGGCATTCATCTCTTTTCATTGTGTTCATATAGATACTTTTTTTTGGAATTAATTAAAAAGCTAAGTGTCTTGGGGCACCGGGGTGGTTCAGTCGGTTGGATATCCAACTCTTGATTTTGGCTCAGCTCATGATCTTGGGATCCTGGCATCGAGCCTGGCATTGAGCCCCTTGCTGGGCTCTGTGCTCAAAGGGGAGTCTGTTTCTCTCTCTCTCTCTCTCTCTCTCCCTCTGCTCCCCCCCAACTTGCGCACGCGCTCTCTTTCTCAGATAAATGAATAAATCTTTAAAAAAAAAAAAAAGAAAGCTAAGTGTCCACAGAATTAGTAGGCACAGCCAGGGAAATAGGACACATCTGGAACTATGTTGCTTTTAAAGTGCATTTAGAGGACAGGACCATTCTGAGCATGTTTTTAAGTAGAGAGCAAGATGCTAGAGGGGAAATAGAATTTGTAATAAAAATACTGGATTTTTTAGAATCTTACAGTGTGCTGGGCACCATACTCAGAACTTTACATACATTATCTTATTTAATCCTCATAACAACCTGATGAAGTCACTGAGGAATAAAATGTTTTAAAAAGCTTGACCAGTGTCACAGAATTAGTAAGGTGTGGAGCTCATTTAGAGCCTAGATTCTGGAAAGAGGGCAGAACTTCTGAAAGAGAAGGCAAGGATGGGGAAAAAAACAACTCTGAGGGGTAAAGAATGAAAGTTAGGGGTAATAGTTGCTATACCTGTTCAAAAAGAAAGTAAGAAGAAAATTGCCTGCTAAGATAATGGGACAAGGAGAGAAAGGACTTGGGATGTATTTTGTAAAAGGTACTCTGGGAAATGTGTTGATGATTCATACATGAGAAGTCAAAAAGCTAAGTAGCCTCATTCTTAGGGGGAGTCAATTGGTATAATTTTTGACTACCTCCAGCAATATGTGGGAGTCTGGAAATTGCAGCAGTGGGGGCAGATGATGGTGATGTCTCAGGGTTGGGGAATGACTGTGTAGGTGTGGCACAGCCTCAAGACGGCTTCTACTTGTTACGGGTGTCTGAGCTGACATCGGACTATTAGGATTCGAAATCCAGCCTCTGTCTATTACCAGTGATAGGATCTTGGTTAAGGATCTCCATCTCTGGGCGCCTGGGTGGCTCAGTTGGTTAAGCGACTGCCTTCAGCTCAGGTCATGATCCTGGAGTCCCGGGATCGAGTCCCGCATCGGGCTCCCTGCTCAGCAGGGAGTCTGCTTCTCCCTCTGACCCTCTCCCGTCTCATGCTCTCTCTCTCATTCTCTCTCTCAAATAAATAAATAAAATCTTAAAAAAAAAAAAAAGGATCTTCATCTCTTCAAATTTCAGTTTCCCCATTTGGAAAATGAGGGTAATAATAACTCCTACTTCATCTGCTTTTAGTGAGTGCTGAATTCCATGTGAAGTGTGAAAGGTGGTATATGTAAGTTTCAATAAATGTAGGTTCATGTTATTATGCTAACAAAGGTATGGCTCAAATGGTGGACCTTAGGGTCTTGCCTGAGAATAGAGACTGGTGAAACCAGAATGGACGGATAGCCTGGGATTAATCAAGCATTAATAAGGAAAGGGCAGGTTCAGCAGAGGTATGGAGTAGGGTAGCTGGCTGATAAGGAATTTGTGGGTTGAGGACACTCAAATTTGGTATTTTTGAAAGGATTTCAAGAGACAATAATACTTAAGATATGACTCTACCAGCCACTGACTAAAATGAAGAGGAAAACTCATTAGAGCGGAAGATGTCAAGGAACTTGGGAGTGGTGGATGGATGCAGAGGTTGTTGATGAACTGTGAGGTTAACAACCGAGTGGTTGAGTGGCATCATAGAAAACAAACTTGCTACAAGTTGTTTTACTTTTGGAAACCGGTGTACTTTGTCATTAAATCAGGCTTTTTAAAAGTGAGGGACACAGCCAAAGAACACAGTGTGGCACCTAACAGAGCAGGGAGATATTCATGCATTCTCTAATCTGACAAGCATAAAAAACGCAAAGACTGAACAAGACTATTTACTGTTTTACATTTTGCAGAAGGATAAAAAATGGTGAGGAGTGGAGGAGGAAGGCCATGTTTTTGTTTTTGTTTCTCTGCAGTCTTTTCCTAAAGGACAAGGAAATATGGGTAAATCTACTAGGCTTCTTTCCCATGCACTAGAATGGGGGTATTTATTTTTAAAACAACTTTCTTCAGATATAATAGATAGACAAAAAAAAATCTGCACACAGTTAATGTGTACAATTTGATGTGTTTAGGTGCTGTTCCTTTTTATACATTCAATGAGCATTTCTTCGGAGACAAAAACAGTGCTATGCTTTAAGGCAGCACCGTCTAATAGAAATACATTGTGAGTCGGAGATGATTTTAAACTTTCTGGTAGCCACATCAAAAAGTAAAAAACAGAAGGTGAAATGAACGATGCATTTTTAAACCTAGTATACTGAAAATATTATTTTGGCATGCTACTATAAAAGTTAAATGCGATCTATTAGATTTTTTCTATGAACTGTTCAAAATTTGATATGTATTTTACAATCACAGCACGTATCAATTTCACTAGCCATATTTCAAGTGCTCAATAGCTGCATATCATTAGTGGCTACTATATTGAACAGTGTAGCTTGAAGGATTGGGATAGAAAATAAATTATTTCTTGATTTCTTTTCAGTTGAAAGTTACAGTAGAGTTGGCGAGTATAATTCATACAAAACCTATCTATTGATATTTCAGATCTTTCAGTGTACTCATTTGATTCCCAGACTTGTTGGAAGAAATCTTAAGTGACTTGCAGTAAGATACAAAAATTAAAAAGGAAATTGGAAGGTGGACCAACTGTTGATTTCGTGTTCATTTAAAGTCTTTCACAGCCTAATTGTCCTCTTGACCTTGTGAGGAAACACATCAAATATTTTTGGCTAACCCTCATTTTAAAAACTTGGAAGTCACTAGAGAGCGTGAGTTAGGGAAAACGGTTAACCCTGGCAAGCTCCTGCCTCAACAAGGGAGCAGACTTGGGAGTAGAAGTCGTATTTTCTTTCTCTAGGTGTACTTGGGAGGCTGCAGTTTAAATCTGGAATCCCTCACTTCTGTCAAGTGCATATCCTGTTGGTGTCTCATATCCTGAAAAAAGCTGATTACATAACCGGGTCTCCCTGGCAGGTGTGAAACTATTTTTAGGGAAGCTGTATCATTGCTCAGAAGTGGATTCAGACAAACAAACATATGGGTTATTAGCCTACATAGAACAGGTGAGGCTGACCAAATTTCCTCCATCATGGATGAATACAACACAAGGAATATGGAGGCTAATTGAACGGTGAACTGTTGTCCATTGTTTGGAGAACAAATGAATCTTTCTTTTGCTTGGTGGTGAAGGAGATAACATTCCTCTGATTGAAGTTGCAGACACTTTTTAAAAAAAAATTATTTTTGGTGGTGTGCTGTTTCCAAATGTAGGTCCTGCACCAGATGTGGTCTCAGACAAAATCTATCAGATCAGCAAAACAATCGAGGAATATGCCATATGCCCTGATCTTCGAATTGACCTATCTCGGCTTGGAAGACAAGAATTTGACCTGGAGAACAAATTCAAGCCATTTAGAGGTAATAGATTATATTTTGAAGAACTGAGAATAACTCCATGGGTAGAGGTGACTCTGCTTTCTGGGATGGGGGGTGGGCATACACTAAAGTGATTGGTTTATCTATTTGGGGAGTGACTTGATAAGCAGATGTAATATGACTGTTGTGTACAGGGAAGTGAGAGCAGCCAAGATACTCAGAACTGGCAGCTTTCAAAAATGACTTCTCAAACTCTAGATCACTTTCAACATAGGAAAAACATCATAGCTGACTCCCTTATGGCATTCCAAGAATAGGACGTGAATTGCCAAAACATGTTTTCACTTTTCTAATCAATTACAGTGGAGATGCTGGAATATTTTATGTAGTTAAGGAGGGAACCAACAAGGTAATGGGGTTATTAAAAATTCCCATGGAAGGTAGGCATTTTTTTTCCAAGTCAGAACCATGCTGTTCAACTTGATTCAATGTGCAAAGGATCCCCCATTCCATACCAAGCACTATGTGAGGAGATTTTATGAAGGAACTCAGTAAGTACCAAATGGATTGAGGCAAAGCACAGAATGAAATTGCCCCAAATATCCCATACTAGAGAGTGACTGAAACTTCTGAAGTACTCAGATTATAACTTTTAATTTTACAGATTAATATTGAACAATATAACATCACTAATATCATGTATATGCATATTATGCCCCCCCCTTTTATCCTATTGCTTTTTCCTAGAACGTATACAATTAGCCGTAAACCAACTTGTTACTCCTTTAGTGCCGTATATGCTGAAATACAGTCTGTGTTAAGATGTTATCCTTATTTGACAAGTAAATTAATTTAGCTAAAAAGATTAAATACCAGGCTTACAGCCACATGGCATTTGAGGGACAGGCAAGGAAGAGCTTGAAATGGACTGTTGAGGGGTCACACTGTTAAGCCAACACTACTACCTTTTTCTTGAAGGGTTCTGAGTCAGTTGCTTGCTTAGCTAAGCAGCAGAAATTAACCGGAAGCCATGGGATACTGGAAACAATGGTGCCTCCTTTTATTAATCTAGCTGGGAGCATGCAAACACATGCACACACAGTGGTTTGACAACTGTAAACAGGGGATATATTATATGAAACAAATGGATTTAAATATGCTTGTTTACATATGTTTGGAAAAACTGGACAGTATGATGACTGGGAAAAATCAGGCATTACCATCAGGAAGACGTTATGAATGATTTATTTACTATTGGTATCTTCACAATTTTTATACTTGTCTAAGAGACCCATATCTTTGGTGAGCTCAGATTCAGGCTGTTTCTGCAGCCATATTGCTAATTTGATGAGTTTTCTAAAATGCTGTGGATAACAGGAGGTGGGTAGAAGAATTCTCTGGCTCCCAAGAAGAATTTGGAGATAATCATTTGGGATAATTTATGTGCTGTGTTCTTGCTGTTTTAAATGTTGAGCAAGGCTTGAGTTAATTGGAAATACATCATTCCTTGGCATTTCACCTTAAGGGGTCTAGAGCATGAACTATTTGATGTGAACTTTCAGTTTTCACTGAATTCTACTTGCTTCCTTGTTTTTTTACATTTCTGTCTACTATGTGTTATCTGCTATGAATCCCAAGTATATTTAGGCAAGTGGTTCAAGAATTAAAGAACCAGAATGAAATTGCCAAAAATATTACCTTATATTGTGGAGTAAGACTTCTAATGTATTCTTTTACTTCATAGATTAATTTTTTTATTGTGGTATAACATACGTAACAAAGTTTACTATTTTAGCCATTTTTAGGTATACATTTCATACAGATTAATTCTTAATTTATTGTATAAATTAATATCCCTCTCAGGCCAAAAGATTAAAAATGATTTGTGTTCATCAAAAAATTATTACATTATATTTGAATGGGCACATATACTACATTGCTTTAAGTGCAAGGAAAAATATTTTTAGATGGGTGTTTGACCAGATGAAGGGATATTTTCATATAACATATTAAAATTCCATTCATTAAATATTATACCTGGAATTTACTGAAAATTATTAAAGGTGGATTGGTAATATCTTTAGTGCAGGTTTAAGTATTTCAGAATTCCAAAGTAGTACAATATTTGAAAAATTTGAAAAACAACAAACATATGTTTGAAAATTTAACTATGAACTTAAAAGCAGGGTTTATGGACAACTTTTAGTGCCTAAAGAGGCAAGTATTTACTATTCTAGGAAAACACTTTCTTAGTATTAATTATATGCTGATGGCCAAGTTTGAAAAATGTAATGAATATTTGGCATTGTGTGTATCTGTCAAATAAATGGAAAAGACTAGTTTGGGATTCCTGGTCACTGGGTGGTACCAAACATTGAAGAATACTTGTGTTTAATGAGGATTTCTAAATATCTGGCATTCACCCTGAAATGGGTACTGGATTGGGCACACAAGAGACTCATACAAACTCAGGAATATATCTTTCATCACCAATTCTAACCCTGGATTTAGTGGGCACAATGGCATTTAGAAAATAAGGGTCACTGCTGAAGTCACTCCTTGATTTGTTTTAAGCCTTCTGAGTCATTCTTGGCTGAGCCCCACAAGAGAGGCACCTGGGTGTGCCAAGAGACCTCCTAGCATTGAGGTGTGTGCCTTCTTTGGAAGGGAGGTGGGATAAAAGGTCACAGTTTTATCTTAACTACTTTATTTTGTGGTTGATTCTTCATTTGCAAAGAGGAATGTATAGCTTGTATTATGTCTATCCATTTGTGACTGGAAAAGTTGGTAGGATCTTGAATGTGTCTTAATTTGTGACTTAGCGTACAAGTGGACACTTGGCTTCTGCATGATGCGTAGGGTTATGATGGAATTGTGATCAGAACTTCATGCTATGAGGGTGGTGATTTCTTTTTTACACTTCTAAGTATGCTTTATGGGTATGGTCAATGATGTTTCCATTTGCTTTCCTATCCTTAGTGGAGATAGTGGACCCAGTAGATATCTATCTCAACCTCCTTCGGACCATCTTTGACTTTAATGCCATCAAGAGTTTGCTGACAGGGCCTGGCCAACTGAAGATCCGAGTTGATGCGATGCACGGAGGTAAGTTCGTGGTCTTCTCCCAGTTGGTGGACCAGATGTTATGGATGTTAAGGAGACCTCTACCTGTGTTGGGTTTCTGAGATTATTAGGAAGATTGGATTCATAGATATTCACACAATGTGTTTATGTTCAGATATTTGGAACGTTCTGGAAAACTTCAGGGTTTTAATTTCTCTCTTTTTTTCTTAGATTAAAAAAATATATCATTTTTTAATTGAAGTGTAGTTGACACGTAATGTTACAGTAGTTTCAGGTGTACAACATAGTGATTTGACAGTTCTGTATGTTATGCTCTGCTCACCACACATGTAGTCTGTCACCATGCAATGCTATTACGATACCATGGACTATATTCCTTATGCTGTACCTTTTGTCCCCATGACTTATTCATTCCATAACTGGAAGCCTGGATCTCCCACTCCCCTTCCTGCATTTTGTGCATCCCCCCATTCCCCTCCCCTGGCACTTTCTCTCTTTTGAAGCAAATGAAAGTAGTGGTGAACAAATGAGTCGGAGACTATGCCTATTCAAGTGTGGAATGGATAGTTAACTGTAGTCATTTAAAAAAATCTATTTTTTAAAAGATTTTATTTATTTATTTCAGAAAGAGAGTGCATGAGTGGAGGGGAGGGACAAAGGGAGAGGACTCCTCGCTGAGCAGGGAGCCCGACGCGGAGCTCGATCCCAGGACCCTGAGATAATGTGAGCCAAAGACAGACGCTTAACCGACTGAGCCATCCAGGTGCCCCCCCACCAAAAAATCTATTTTGATCACTGTACACACATATAGTTTAAACAGTCAAGTAGTTCAAAGTTTATTATGAAAAAAATCTAGGCCCAACTCCCCCCAATTTCCTACAGAGGCAACTTTTTTTTTAACATTTTAAACTTTTTTCTTTAAAGTATTTATCTCTCTATTACTAAATACTATGAATATACTTCTTGTTGAGTTTCAGTTTGGGCATTACTGACTTTATACGATGGAAGATGAGGTGGTAGCTCTCTTTTACCCTCTCCATTCACTCAATCCAAGCATACTTCCCTCAACTAATTATATCATAAGTTTGGTGAGATCAGTATCCAGTGTCTACATTATCAGAACCACTGCTGAGCCATGTAAAATATTATATTTTCTCACAGCACATCACTATTTTTTATGAATAGTGCCCTATTTCATGTTTCATGAATGTCGTATTTTTAAAATAAGTCAGGTTTACTGAGGTATAATTTATATGCAGTAAAACTGACATCTTTTAGGCATACACTTTGAGGAGGTTTGACAAACCTATATAGTCATGTAATGACTGTGACAATCAAGATATAGAATATTTCCCTCACTTCAGCAAGTTCCCTTGTGGCCCTTTGTAGTTGTACCCCTTGTCCTAATCACTAGCTCCTGGCAATCACTCATCTGGTTTTGCCTACATAATTTTATCTTTTCCAGAAAGCCATCTAAATGGAGCATAAAATATGTAAAGCCCTTTTCTTCAGGCTTCTTTCACTCACATAAAACTCTAGAGATAGAGTCATGATGTTGAATGTATCAGTGGTGATTTCTCGTTACTACCGAGTAGTATTCCATTGTAGGGATGTACTATAGTTTGTTTATCTAGTCATCAGTTGATATAATTATGGTTATTTCCAGGTTTTGGTTACTACAAACAAAGTTGCTATAAACATTTGTGAATAAGTCTTTATGGGCTACATGATTTCATTTGTCTTAGATAAATACCTAGGACGGGGATTGCTGAGTCATAGGACAAGTACATATTTCACTTTATATGAAACTGCCAAGCTTTTGTCCAAAGTGGCTGTACAATTGGCATTGCCAGCAGTGTATGAAGACTTTAGTTTTTCCATGTCCTCATCAACACTTGGTATTGTCAGTCTTTTCAATTTTAGCCATTCTACCATATCTTGTTGGTTCCTATTAAAATATTACTGAGGAGAAGGGAGGAAGATGGTGGAGAAGTAGGGGACCCTAGTTTCGTCTGGTCCCTGGAATTCAGCTAGATAGCTATCAAATCATTCTGAACACCTGTTTTCCCCATTGAGAATGATATTCACTGTGGGGTTTTCACATATGGTTTTTATGATATTGAGCTATATTCCCCCCTATCCCTACACTGTGAGAGTTTCAATCAAGAAAGGATGCTGTACTTTGTCAAATGCTTTTTCTGCATCTATTGAGAGGATCGTATGGTTCTTGTCCTTTCTTTTATTAATGTATTGTATCACGTTGATTGATTTGCGGATGTGGAACCAACCTTGCAGCCCAGGGATAAATCCCACTCGGTCATGGTGAATAATCCTTTTAATGTACTGTTGGCTCCGCTTGGCTAGTATTGTGGTGAGAATTTTTGCATCCATGTTTATCAGGGATATTGGTCTGTATTCTCCTTTTTGATGGGGTCTTTGTCTGGTTTTGGGATCAAGGTAATGCTGGTCTCATAAAATGAGTTTGGAAGTTTTCCTTCCATTTTGATTTTTTGGAACAGTTTCAGAAGAATAGGTATTAATTCTTCTTTAAATGTTTGGTAGAATTCCCCTGGAAAGCCGTCTGGCCCTGGGCTCTTGTTTGTTGGGAGATTTTTGATTATTGCTTCAATTTCCTTGCTGGTTATGGGTCTGTTCAGGTTTTCTATTTCTTCCTGGTTCAGTTTTGGTAGTTTATACTTCTCTAGGAATGCATCCATTTCTTCGAGATTGTCTAATTTGCTGGCATATAGTTGCTCATAATATGTTCTTATAATTGTTTGTATTTCTTTGGTGTTTGCTGTGATCTCTCCTCTTTCATCATTTTATTTATTTGGGTCCTTTATCTTTTCTTTTTGTTAAGTCTGGCCAGGGGTTTATCAATCTTGTTAATTCTTTCAAAGAACTAGCTCCTACTTGGTGGTAGGGGCTGATGGAGACTCCCTCCCCCCGTGGTCTATCTTCCCGTTCTGTTCTACTGTTCTTTTGGTTTCTATTTCATTGATTTCATTGATTCCTGCTCTGATCTTTATTATTTCTCTTCTCCTGCTGGGTTTAGGCTTTATTTGCTGTTCTTTCTCCAGGTTCTTTTGGTTTCGATTTCATTGATTCCTGCTCTGATCTTTATTATTTCTCTTCTCCTGCTGGGTTTAGGCTTTCTTTGCTGTTCTTTCTCCAGCTCCTTTAGGTGTAGGGTTAGGTTGTGT